CCAAACTCTACCACAAATTACCTCAGAAAATCGATTCCGCTGATGAATGTGAATATAAATCTATTCATTTGGAAAGAGTTCAGCTCAGCTGTTTAGTGGAATGTACTTCCAAATACTATGTAGAAAAGAAACATCATTGGAATCAATGCAAAATACTCATTTTCCCTAGATCAGATGGAGTCTCAGCCAAAGTATCGCACTTCTTAAATAGGGCCACCTTTAAAAAGGGAAATCGTACAGACAAATAATATGTACGAAATGCAAAAGAGGTTGGGGAGGTTATTCATTCTTAATCCTCTTTACTTGGTCGAAAGCCCAATAAATTGAAACTGCTTTTAAATCGCAATCAGTAGAAGTGCTTAGTTTAAGGCTGGATTTTAGTCAAGGTCATTGCTTTTTCACCGGTTAATCAGTGAATAAATAAATCGGATCTAAACAGCTCATTCAAAACAAGTTCACACCGAAGAGGGAAGAAGCTCAGTGGAAACATCCCAAACCGGGAGCGGATATTTTAGAATGGGAGGCAAATCATTCAGCTAAATGGGCACTCTGCCCCCAATTCCAGATTTTTTTTTCTGATCGAATCGCTATCAGCTGCATCGATTTCAGTGGGTAACCGAGACTATTTCCTTAAGAGCAAATGTTCTCTGGTTTTTATTCGGACCACAGCCCGTGTTCGCCAGCAAACTTTTAATTTATGCAGACATCTGCTGAAGCGGAATGTTGAAGGGCTTCTTAATTAACGGGCAGGAAAGTGGTTCTGAAGCAAGGTGATGAGCAGCGCGGGACTTTCGGCAACGATTATTGCAATCCTCCGACCCGCACTGGTATGCTCTCATTCCTCCAGAAAAACTCCACGAAGCAAATTCATGTTGATCTTGACAGTTTTGTGCTTTGTTTTTAATCTGAATAATTGTCATGGATTTTAAACCGTCCCCCCCCCCCCAAAAAAAAATGCATGATGAAACGAGGCTATGAAAGCTTTGCAGCAAGACACAATTCTTCATCAGGCAATAGGAAAAGCAAATCAGCCTCCTTCAGGATCTGAAAACCATAATTACTTGTTTTGATTGACAGAATCTAGAAGGACAGGGCAGGCATACTTTGGAGATAGGCAGGATTTTCCACCAGGCCCTGTAAGATCCCTTCTGTTCATATAGATAGCCATCACTCACATAATCATCATAAACATTTTTAAAAATCCAGGTAGAAATGCCAAAATCTTTGTCAGCTGCAAATGGGCAACATATATTTGCGGATGACAACTGGGTCAAAAGTCCTTATACCGTGCTCATAATTACAGTAGGTGTAAATTCAAAGACACCGACTCCTTGTTCTGTTCGGTGGTACCTTTTCTTCTAAAAAAAAGAGCTTGGATCCTTTTACCCAGAGAGTTGTTTTGTTTTTAATTGTCAAGTTGATCAGATTAGCTGCTATTCACAAACTGATATTTCTCGCTACTAGTAGGTGAAAAAGTCATGCAGTTTAGAGAGTCTAGGCCTTCCTTTATTTCCTGCAAGAAGATGTTCAGCGGCTGGCTTGGAGTCTGTAAGACTAAATTATGTAACTTTTCTTCTGCTTTGCCTCTGGAGAGTCTGCTGCACCACGAAGGGAAGACCCTTACAGGCTGCACGATTCATTAAGAACTGAATAATTTATCCTCCTGTAATCTGGATGGATAGGGAAATAGAGAAAGAACTGCAACTTCAAGCTAGTCTTATAAAATTCTCTCTGCAAGATAGGAAAGGTGAGGGAAGCTGAGAGGAAAAGAAGAGGAGGAAGAATTCAAAAACCAGGTCGTTTTCATTCTTCCAGGTTCTCTGGTTTAGTCACAGTAACTTTGGGAACTATTTTTTTTTAAGTGATGAAATATCAACAAACACATCCATTTATTCAACCCAGACTCCCCTCCCTCCAAATCGATTCCACCCCTGAAGGACACCCAAGCCCGTCCTCCCACCATTTCTTGAGCGAGGCCTCTCCCCTTAAAAACAGGTAGCTCTCTCATCTAACCACCCAGCCTGGGCAAAGGGGAACGCTGGGGGTGAAGAGTTCCCTTTCAGCCAGAGAGGAGGCGGCGCCGGGCCCCCTTCCCCAGAACAGAGAACACAGCAGTCCACCAATAATACAAATAATTTTGTTTTTTCCCTCTGCCGAGGGTTCAGCCTGGTTCATAGCCCTGTCTGTAGCTTGCCCTTGTCTGCCTCTTTCCTCCCTAGATCTTTACCGCCACCACTTCTCAAGGGACAAAGAAGAGGCTTCTTGCTAGAAAGAAGCTTCACTCGGAGGCAGATTCTTTTCAAGGAACGCTGCCTCAAGATCGGGCAACTCTGCTATATGGGGACGCAGGGTTTGGCTTAGTTGATTAGTTGGTGAGCGGTGCTAATTGTCTCCCGGTGCACAAATTCACGAGGTGGCAAAAAAATCAACAAGATATTTGAACAGGGTTCCCCTATACCGAAACCTTAGCAGGGCACAAATCCTGCAGCAGATCCACTTCACATATTTCTTGATGACAGTGCAAATGGGTAACTTTTTATGTTTCGAAGCCCACCCAACGGTCTTCCACGTAGTCGTAAAATCACTGTGCCTCATTCCGCTGTGTCTCCTAATCCCACCGGAACATCCTTTGTGATAATTCCCGGGGGAAAGCTTGGCTATAGTCCTTCTAGAGAGCGCGACTTTCTCCCGAATCTGCCGGCTTTGTCCAGCAACTACCGGTAAGAAGGCATAACGGGAATGTGCCGCCTCCACTACTTTGCCCCAGTCGGCGGTTCTCCTTTTTCACCGAAATGAAAGTTCTGTAAAACTAAGAAGTTGCTGGGAGTGCCCCTTTTTACATTCTAGTCAAAACTCCCTTGATCGAAAATGGATTCTAACCCTATATTCTGACACTGAAATAACATTTCAAGGGTACTGAAAGTGCAGACCGATCAGATTTAAGCCACCAAAGTAGCATTCCCCGTATAAAGTAAACCAGGGGGGCATTTTGTGCAACGAGCTTAGGTGGGGTCGAAAAGCTTTGCCTTTGCAGCCAGACTGATTTGTCCTGAAAACTCTAGTCCCTCATCCCCAATCGGTTATTTGAAAGAACATTTCCCTTGAGATGACTCTGACTTAACCCATCTCTTTTGGAAGTAAGTACCGTGAGAGAACTGGACTTCACTTCCAAGGCTGCCCTTTAGTTCTGGAGAGTAGTCGAAGTTATTCCTGGCAGAGTCTCTACCATCGCACTCAGGCAGATGGACCACTCATTTCTGATTCCCATTGTATTCATTTCCAAGAAAATCCACCTATTTTAGGTGGGAATTCTTCTTTAAAACATCCTGAGACCAACCTGGTTTAAAACGGCCGACTCTGATCGGCCTAATGGCCAGGGCAACACTCCAGGAGTGTCAGGGGGTGAGCCGATCGCATGAAGAAGAGAGGCGCGAGACGGCTCTTTTTTCTTAGAGGAACTCTCTGGGAACGAGCCGGCGGGCAGCCTTTGCAGCCAGTTTAGGGCTCGCCTCGCTCCACTCAGGCCTAAAACCATTCCCGAGGTTGGAGAAACCTGCGGGTCGCGCATACAACCCCTCTGAAGCCAAGGAAAATCATGCAGGCGAAACTCCGTTTCCTCACTTTATAAGGTTTCCTAATGGCGGTTGCCGCGACAATGAAGCTCGGGTTAGGGTTTTAGGGTAGCTCAACGACGATTGACTAAGAAGCTAAAATGCTTCCGTGAGAAGCCCGGGGGGAATAGAGTGTAAGCAAATTCAGGGGATCAAGGAACGACCTGCAAGACAAGCCCCCCCCCCCCCAAAGCTCTGCTTGACCGCTCGGGCTGGTGCCTAGAAAAAGCCGCCCGCTCCGGCTTGCTCTGCGCTTTGCAGCAGCAGGCCGGGGAAGGGGGTGGGTGGGTAACAGCTTCTCCTCGCGGATCAGGAGTGTTTCCAAAAAGACGGACCCAACTTCAGTTTTCCGAGAAGAGTGGCCATCTGTCTGCTGTGGGCCTACAACGCCCCAGCCGAGGCAGCAAAGCCTTCGGCGGCCCTCACTTGAGGGCCCTCTTGCTGGGGCCGCTCACTTTTTGCCCCCCTTCCCTTCCCAGCCCGGCCACCGCTCCCGGCCTGGGAAACTCGTTGTCTTTCTTCAGAGACTTTGCGGAAGGGCACTTCGACTCAGCCAGCTTTTTCAAGCGAGCGAGCACGGCGCCCTCGCTCAAAATCTCCAAATCCTCGGAGCCGAGATTCGAGGGAAAGAAGCCGCGCGCCTGTAAACTTTACGGCCTCTTACTGCGCATGCTTACTTGGTAGTAAGTCTCTTGTGTTCAAGACTTTTTTTTTTCCCCAAACGAGGACCTCTGAAACTTCAATTGTGGGGTGCGACCCGGTGGGTCCGCTGGAAGCTCTCTATCTTAAATACCTCGGACTGAAAGTGATCTGTATTTCCCCCACGCCCGTTTTTCTTGGATTTAGAAAAGCTTTTCCCAATACGAGTTGGCTTCTCGTTATCTTTTCACGCCTCACTATAAAATGTGAAAAAATGGGGACGTGAATTTGCGCTTCCGGTTAGTCGAAGTCAGAATGGAGTCCTGGTTATTAAACTGGTCTGGATTCGCGAAGGAAAGGAAAGAAGGGAAACTACGTTCATAGGAACGAGCTCTAATATTAACTTCAAGATATTTGTTCCTGCTAAGTTGCAGGGACCACAATACCCAAGCCCTGGAATGGGCAGATCATTTAAAAAATAGAACAGCATCGTTTCCGCACGTATGTATCTGCTTTATCCTCGGTTTCTTCCTTTGTCTATCCCGCCCGGAAAATGCCGTGTCACGGGTGTGTGTGCACGTGGGTATCTAAGAAGCCGGGTTCCTGGGTCAGATGCTTAGCTGTCAGGCGACCGTTTGTTCCGCGGCCATCCGAAAGGGAGGGCAAAAGAGCAATCTGGCGAAGCGCGCGGCCGGCGGGAAGCCGCGGCTCCCACACTTACCATCCTGCTGCTGAGTGTCACTGCCGCTGGTCAGCCCCGGCGACTCCAGGAGACTCCGGCCGCTCTCCCCGACGCTCTCGTCGGCCTGAGCCGCCACCAAGTCGCCGGCTTCCTCCAGATCCAACAGGTGGCTGACCGAGAAGTTCTTCTTTGCCTGCAGGCTGTCGAGGTTGCTGGGACTCTCCAGGCGCGTGGCTAGGACGGCCGGCTGCCTCTCCAGGACGCGCCCGTAGCTGGAAGTCATGGTTTTGCCTCCCCCGGCCGAGTACGCGGAGGGCAGCCAAGGCAGAGGAGGACGAAGGGAGCCCCGGATGAAAGGCGCCCGGCCAAGCCTGCCGGCCACTGATGCTTTCCGGGCCACCGAGGCTGCTCTAGGTGGGGAAGCCGCGCGGAGCGGCCCAAAGCCGGCAGATCCAGCCTCCTCAGACCCAGCAAAGCTCGACTGAAGCGTAAACCCCGCCACCCGCCTGCGTCTCCCTAGCTGGCCGCGCTCCTTGGCTAGCCGGGCGAGCAATGAGGCGGGAAGGGCGGACGTCTTGCCGAGGCTTCCCGCCGACTTAGCGGCGCAGCGGAGCTCCCGGCCCGCGAGCTGAGGGCAGGGGGCTGCTGGGGCAAGTGCGCTAGCTCCGGGCCGCTTACCGTTGGGGTTCCCGACCGAGCGGCCCTCTGGCACTTGTAACGGCGCAGCCTGGCAAGCCGGCAAGCGGGGAAGCTCCAGGGCCCTCGGGAGGGCAGAGCCAGACTTAACGGGAGCCTCTAATTTACGTGGCAAAGGCTTTGTGCTGTTTCTGACGTTTCACAGACCTCCTTCCTCCCCCGCCCCCGCCGCCTCCCCCTTCCAGTCCGGCCTCGGCGAACCCACCCTCGCATTTAGGGATCCCCTCCCCTCCCCCCGCTAGCCGGAACGCGCGCGCGTGGCGATTTCCCCGCAAAGAGCCAAGTATCCCCCCCCCCCCCCCAAAAAAAGTCGAAAGCCGGGAAGCCAGGCGGACGCCGGAGGTGACTCCCAACCCCGGCTGCTTATTTGCTTTGCTAATTAGCGGCTAGGAAGATTAGCTGAAGGTCCTGCCGGAGAATCTCATTTGCATGGCGGTCGGGCGGCGGGCTCTTTAGGAAACCATCCCGGGCGTGGCTAATCAACTTCGCTTCTCTTAGATTTTTAGTATATTTTCCCTTCTTGCCCCAAGCGTTGCTTCGGGCCGCTAAAACGAAGGAGAGGAAAATAGAGCAGCGCGTACGAGTATTTTGTTTCGACTTAGCCGATCGGGTAAATACAATATAGGATTACCGTATCTAGTCCATTACTGGACGACTTAGTGCGTCCCAACGCGAATGGCTCAGTGAAATGCGCTTGTTTTTGGCCTTTTGCTCAACTGCCATTTAGAATGGCTCAGACTTCCCTGGGCAACATCAGACTGGCCCTTGGGCCACACATCTTGACCTGATCTCTCCCCCAGCCCTGACCTTAAAATAGCCGTCTATACAGCAAATGGCAGCACCTTGCTGCTCTCTACTAACCTTGAGAAAGATACCGTAGATAAGAATGCCCTGATTGGAGCTTCGATGGGTGATCACTAGGAAATCTCAGGGTTATAGGAAATAAAGAAGGAACAACAAATTGCCAAGAAAACTACATGGAATCAACAGAAATCACACTAGGCTCAGGGGGGTCTTTACCTTTATGTTGTCACTTTGTTTGCCAAATTAAAAAACTGTTTCCCTCTTTTAAACTAAGACACAGTTTCAAGATTAGTAACATATAGTGCAATCAATACTCTGGACATAAGATCAGATGACCAATTGTGGTTGTGACCAACAGAGGTGAGTTTGGAGTATGTTGGCAGCATGTGAGCAGGCTTCCTCCCTTCTGGTCACTTGTCTTTGGGCAGCTCCCACTACAACTCTTTCTCTGGCAGCCTTTGTCCTTTCCCCTAGCACTATGGTTTCCGGAGTTGCTTTCATGTCAGTTGCCTCTCCTTCCACCCTATTGGCCTCCCTATTTTTAATGCCAACCTTGCTTCTGGTTTCTCACCAGGTAGGGAAGGAAAAAGCAGAAAAAAGCAGATGCTATTTCCACAACTTTGTGTTTGCACAGCTGTGAAACTGGTGAGATCCAGCAGCCTTGCCTTTCCTCTCTGCAACACCCTGAGTGTAAAGAGGGATATTTAAAGGGGGTTGTCCTGATTATTTGCATGTTTCCTATAATCGTCAGTTTCAATCCTTTTTTCTCTATGAAGCGATCTGGCTGCCCCTTGACTAGTCAATGTTACTCTCTCCCTAGAGGGCCTAGTGCCGCAATTATGGCAGGGCCTGTCTCCTCCCTCGTGTTTCTGTCCTGGTGTCTTCCTGTAGTGTATGGTCTCTGGATTCTCTGCCCAAATTAGAGTCTCTTTGGCACTGCATACTTACTTAAGGACTTTTCAAAGATACCACTTTATGATTTGAAGTCATCTTCCCATGTATTTAATTTCCTATTATATTTGACTTGTGACATGGCAAAATAGAGGAGGGATGACAAATCAGCCTAGAGAAGTCCTAGCAGAAGCCAGAAATTGCAAAATGACACAGACATCTGTGTCACCCTATTTTTGCAGCAGCACCTTACTGGGCTGATCTCTTCCTGCTGACTGATGTGTGCTAAGAGAGACCAGGGAAAGCCAGAACAGAAAACCAATAAATTTGTATAAAACAATGGTGGCTCTGCAACTCTGAACTGTGAGTGGCAGGGAGTCCCAACAGAAGCGGGATAGGTATTTGCCCTTTTATGAGGGCATTGTTTTTTGTTGATACAAAGTAGGAGATGTCAACTGCATCAAATACTTAACTCCTATCACTTTCAGTAAAAGAGATTCATCCATTAAAATCAATGGTGATAAAAACAGCTGAACTTTTGTTTGATCATGCCAGTAAACAGAATGTAAAATATTTCCCTATACAGGGCATTCATTCTTTCTCTTTTTCCTAGATATAAATGTTGAAATGTATTATGCATTACAAAAAATTGTTCTATTGCAGGAAAAACTCTCCAGATGCCCACAACAGAACAGGAACACCATTGCAGCCTTCCTTTTGTCATTTCCAGCAGTTGTCATTGAGAAATGTCTTAGCTTTAGTACTGCAGGAGTCACAGGCCCATTGTCAGGAGCAGAGGGAGTTTTATCTTCAAACCTTTCTCTAAGCCATTTTAAACATTTAAATGTGTGGCATTTGCTACAGTTTCTGAGGCACTCAGAGTACAGTTTTATGCACTTCCCCAACTTGCTCATTGATGGATTTGGGAGACAATCCATACTTTTGGACAAGAACAAGGAAAAACTCAGGAAAACCAGATCAATGGCAGCTACCACCCCACAAAGACATCTGTCCAAATCTAAAGGTCAGGGGAATAGGGAACAATTTACAAGTGAAGACAGGAACCCAAATTTCTCCAAGAGCAAGCAAGCAGCTACCCTTTTGAAAGAAAACTGTTGGGGAAAAGAGGGCTTTTTCACTATTGTTGCAACTCCCCTAATTGGATGTCCCCTGCCCAGGGACTGCTGGGAGTATTGGGAAAGGCCTAGCAAGGTGAAGTTATTTTATTGAAACTAAAAAAGAGAAACATTTTAGGAGTTTCTGAGCTAAGTGCCAGAAGGGCCTGGAATGCTGGGGTGTACTTTGATTACTGGGAGGACTGTGGTGGAACTGTACTGCTCTATTTCAGGGAGCCAATACTTTAAGATTCTTCTTGCTTTGCCTGAACTCAGAATCAGCTCCCACATTCAAGCTCAAAAAAGCCATTCTAGAAGAAAGGATTTCCATTTTGAGCCCGTGAGAATCATATACAACAAACATGTTGATAGAACTGAAGGAGTAGGAGTATTTAGGAGTATTTTAAAGTAAGACAAAATCCAGTCCCTTCATTTTTGGCCAAGGAATAAGCTAACAGCTAACATAAGAAAATGCAGATTATTAATTTGTGTGCATGCCTAACATGTGTTTTCACATAAAAGGAAGCTACAGCCCACAACCCATTAATTATTGCATGATACAGCTTTTGTGTGGCTGTCCATATATTAAATTAATGGCTGATTTACCTAAAGTTGCTCTCTTGCCTAGTCAATTTTTACCTAGCAAGAAACTCAGCCTTGCACAGAAGGTCTACCTACAACCAATTCTGATTCTATGGTGGATGCTTTTGTATGGTATGTTTTTCCACCAACACATTGGTCCCAGTCAAAGGGTCTTCTTCACAGCTAGTAATGCAACATTAGAATTGCATAGAGTTCTCATTTGATCTCTCATCTCATCAAACTCAATGCTTTTTAATGAAGACAATTTCTTAAATATGGAGCCCCAAAAGAATGTGGACTTCCCCAAAACTGAGGTTTTTATTGTTTAAAAAAAAAAGCAGGGAAGAAGCAGGTAAAACATGGACCTTCCTCTTACCGGGTTTGAGTGCTCTCTGGATGGGGAGAGTAACAGGACAGAGGGGGAGTGAGTGTGCTGTAAAGGTCAACCAATGGCAGAGAAAGAGAAGGGCCCCTGTGGTTCAGTGATAGGAGCCAGCCTGGGCTCAGAGCTGCCACAGACAGGCCAAGTTTTCCAACCCCCAATCCGATTTGGGAAAAGAACATCTGATGCCATCAAAGGCTGTGCAGATTGAAACCAGATGTGTTTCCCCTGGTTCTTGCCATGCATTTAATTAAGGAGCTCTGGATGGGGAGGAGGCTGTTTTATCCTGTCTTCTCTCTCATTCAGGCTGTGTTGGATGCTGCCAGGCCGTTTATTAAATTAGGGTCAAAATTTCTCCAGGACTTCTTTCCACACTCAGAGCACAGATACAGCCATCCATCCTGAAGACAGGATCTCCTTAAACACCAGAAAATTCTTCCAAATAACCTTGGGTACAGAGCCCATCCCCTTCTCTTCTATGTATGTCCACATACAATGAATGTAAAGGAAATAGTAAAAATAATTCTGGGCATATGCAAAGCATCTGTCACTCATTGAGCATCTACAATTGGCCCCTATGCACCCATAAATAAAACCCCAACAATGTCTTCCTAGGACAAATGGAAGGACTTTCGGTACTGCAGGGACTCAATCTAATTCAGCATCCTGTCTGCAGCAGTCACTAGCCAAACAGCCACTTTTCTTATGGATCACTAACTGCTGCTGGGATTTTTGCAAAGAATGCTAATCTGAGTGAAACATAGATTGACTCAACCAATATCTTTTTTTTTTTTAAGCAAGAGCACTTAAATG